ATGGTTCAATATACATATATTGTATACGCATAAACGCACAGTGATGGCTTGGACAGCAGTGGAAAAAGATCGTGATGTTGACTGGCGTGGACCTTGTGCATCTCCGGAATAGACACTGGCGACGAGTCGATGCTCTGTGGCCCTTATATAATGTGAGTTTGGTTGATCCCTTCTTCTTGTGCATCGATTAAAGTATTGATATATTTTTATTATTTCGTGTGGTGTGACAACGGTACACCTGGTAATTTATAGTTTTGTTTTGACCGAACGTCTTGATTGGAGAATTATCGAAGGGGACTTGAAGTATATAATATATATATATGTGTACGTACACGTGTGATGTACGTATATGTATACGAAAGAATGCTTTCATGATTTTATAATATACGGTGTTTACTGGCGCCGTTGATATTTGATTGTGTTGTCTCCACTAAATATCTGGTCGGAGAGGTGTAGAATATTATTTATGTGTTGCAGGTGCTGCGTGTATGTAAAAGGAGTGCGTATATTGTAGGTATATATGTGCCTAATGCGTACGTATATATGCATATCGGACCATCCACACTCCATAATATGGTCCGTTTTCATTATTTGTCTCGTGTTTTATTTTAAGTCTAAATATTATATATTACACAATGTTGTAAAAATTTGAATTTCCAACGCTCATAAAATTTAATTTGACCTTCTTATAGAAATTTTTTTTTTGATAAATGTAGATAATCTTATAAGGAATCTTGTATTACATTTTCACATCTTAGATTTAAAAAGAAAAATTTTTACGAATTCTTAACTCAAAATAATTTGCTAATTTTCGTGATTTTTCCATATTTTGTCAATTTTTGAACTTTAAATGCTTATAAAAAAAAATTGTGACTAAGGATTTTTATTATTTTTCATTTGCCTTTGAAACAATATACTAGGAACCTTCTATTAAATTTTCAAGCTTTCGCGACCAACAAATAAAATGTTATTGATATTTTTAGAAAAAAAATGGAAAATGAAAATGTCCCTAAACAGTTCAAAATAAATCAAAATATTTTGAAAATGTTATTGGTGTATATAAAATGCGAATATAAACAACCAGTGAAAATTTCATGTATATACGTTCATTTCTTTTAGAGTTACACCAAAAACTAAAATCGATTTTTTGGAAAACCAATTTTGCGTAAAAATTCCCGTTTTTCCTTAATTTTTATGTTGTTTTTCCCGGCGCTTGTGAAAACTACTTTTTACTTTTGACCCCCCAAAGTACCAACTAGATTCACTTTACTATCAGAAAAGCTACTGTTGAAGAAAATCCAAGCACTTTTACTTACCTAAAACGTGATGACAGACACAAAAAAAAAATAAAAAATAAAAAAAACACACATCATTGTAAAATCAATACATTCATCGTTTCACTCAGAATCTAAAATTATGACTGTAGATTCTTATTCTTATTATTCTTTTTACCTTATATTATACGTATCTGTGACCTATTCTATACAACATTAAATGTGCTAAAGATAATTTCGTTATATTATGTTATAGCTGGGAACTTAATTATAGCGAAGTATACCAAATTATGTTATATTTTTAGTACCTATAGATATATAGTACAACATTTTTGTATTTATTGATAATTTTTAATTCAAAATGAACAAAATATAATAGAAAAAAGCTTTTATTTTTTGGGGCTGTACATTTTAAACATGGTGTGCACATGTCCTTTGTGCAAACCCCCCCCCCCCCTCTCCCTAGTTACGCTTTAAATGCTTTAAACATGAAATTGATATGGTCAAAAGCAAATTTGCTAAGTTGTTCATTTGCAAGTAATTTATTACAAATGCAGTTTACAATATTATTAAACAGAAATTTACATTAACACTACAAGAACTATAGAATAATATAACTAACAGTATTCAGGGGTTCTTAACACTGGTTTCACTGTAGTTCATTTTTTCATAAATTTTGATGTGAGAAGAATTTGATTTTTCCCTTATGAAATTATATTTCATGATAAACGGATCAAAATGTCCCCAAGAAAAAACGGATCAAAAAGTCCCCAGTGGATCCAAATGTTCCCTGATCAAAATGTCACCTTACCACCTAATTACGCTCACGTATAGACGTGCGCGGACTTTGTCACATTGTGGGGGGGGGGGGTATTAAAAACGTCCGAACCAAAAGTTCAACACCGTGTTTTTTAAGTTATCTTAAAATTTTAGAATACATGACGTTTAAAAAAAGTTGAAAACTGATAGGTACTCCACGTTTATATCTATTATAACCTCCATAGAAAATAATATTTATTGATGATGTTTGATAATGTTGTCATAGTGACATAGCACATGTTATTTAGATAAATAAAAAATATTATATTTTATGATTTTTAAATTGTATACCTTTTTTTTCGTATTAACGAGGAACGGGTGATTAAGTCTGAAATTGTATGTAGTTTATTAACCGATTCTCACCTTTTTAGGACTTCTAAATGTATTATCCTATTGTTATAAAATACTGTAAATTTCACTTTGTCGTTATGTATTTATGTATCGATTAAGATAAATACTTATAATACAGAAATAACGTGTTATCTGGAGATTCTGTACTCATCCATATTTTATATATATTACATAGGGTACATTTTCATTTAATTAGTATAATCGACCAGCAGCAATATAAACTGAGGTTTAACAAAATTTTGTATTATAAATATCTTCCACATAGGAAGTTACTTTGTTGTAAGTAGTACCATAGTATTAAGTATAAACAGCGAAACAATAACATTATTGTCGAAGCAGGGTCATATACTCGCGATGAAAAATCAGGGGCCTTGTATTAAATTTTCACGCTTTTTGGGCAAACAAATAAAATAGTATTAATATTATTTTATAGAAAAAAAAGCTAAAAATAATTGGAATTTGAAACTGTCCGCGATCAGCTCCAAACGAGTCAAATTTTTAAAATTTTATGGTGTATAGAAAATGAAAGTATAAACATTCAGTAAAATTGTTTTATACCTACAGTTTTTTGTTTTTGAATTACAACAAAAATTCAAACTGATTTTTTCGAAAACAAATTGTGCGTTTAAGTCCCCGTTATTCCTTATTTTTTTATTTTTTTTCCTCTGAGCTTAGGACTTTTTAATTTTGGTCCCCTTAAGGTACCAAATATATTCATTTTCCTATCTGAAAAAGTATATAGTGTTGAAGAAAATCTAATCATTTTTTAAAATGTTAATTGTTTATAGCTAAGAATTTAAAATTTAAAACAAGGTTTCACGTAAGTACTTCGTAGTATAGGTAACCAACAAATTTAAAAATTATATTATAATCACAGTCTTTTTAAAAGATATTTTAAGTTCAAATTTGTATGAAATTATATTATTAACTAGCCGACCCGTCACAGCTTCGCCTGTGATTGGTTGTTTATTTTGCCTCTGAACGATGATATGTATAATTTTGTATTCAAATTTTATAGCTTAATGTGATCGGCAAGTAAATATAAAAAAACTTTTAATGAAAGTGTATTGAAATGTTTCTAGCGGTATTAATGATAAATATATTTTTATTACAAAAAAACCGATCACGTGCATATCGTTGCCGTTAAATGGACCAACTCTATATATATGACTCAAACTTTGTTCAATTCGTTATTTCATATTCGATATATGGTGTTGAAAACTTATCTTAACTTTTCCGTTGTGCCCAGAATAAAAATTCTGATTATCAGCTGTATATTATCAGGTAGGCAATCTACCTGTGGTAGATCACTGATCCCGTGCTGTTTGTACGTAAGTGTATGATTTAGCTCTAGAGTATCAAAGTTACTTCATTCCACCTACGGTGAATTGATATAATTAATCAATACAAAATTCTAACCTAACCTAACCGTATACTAAAATCGGATGAATAAAAAAAAACCAAATTTAACCCTTGTTAAATTAATCCATCTTCTTCTCAGAGGTATAATCTACACACAAACATTATATAATATTATATTATATCTACGAAAAACAATAATACAAATCAACAAATATGCCCGATTAACCAATAGCAACCGATATATAATACACTATTATTATTTTAATCTGCAACAATTAACTACTTTTTTATTATTTAGTTTATTTTTTCTGGACAGATGGCGCCGCTGTTGTATTTTTGACATCCCTACTTCCTACTTATCTGGTGAATTTCCCTAAAATATTCTTTCATAAGAACCTTGTCCTGACAATTACGAATACAACAAAAAGGAATCAGCAAATCGTTTCTGTAGTTTTCCCGGTTAGCGTGGTCGCAGAAAACCCCTTACAATTTTATATAGTAGTATTATAGATAACATAGCAACCAATATATTATAATACACTATTATTATTTTAATCTGCAACAATAAACTTTATTTTTCATTTTTTATAAATTAGTTTATTTTTTTTATGGACAGATTGAGCCACTGTTGTATTTTTGACATCCATATTTCCTATTTTTCTGGTGGATTTTTCTAAACAAAAGTGGTACTATGACCTCCAGCAGACTGTCAAGTTTAACAGTAAAAAATTTCAGCCAAATCGGTTCAGTAGTTTTCTCGGTTAGCGCGGTCCAAGAAAACCCTTACCATTTTATATAATAGTATAAATTGCCTTTTGAAAGTACTTATTATTTTAATAAGAGCATATTTAATGATTTTTAACATTGTTTTTGGTCTCTATTTAATAATAATCATTTTAAACATTGACAATAATAAGATTTATGTACTTATAATGATGAGTTTTTAAATTTTTTTTTCAGATTATACATTAATTGTTGTGGTAATTAATGTTTGAGTCAACATGTTAAATGTGCTGTTCTTAGGGAATAGAAGTTGTGAAGTAAATATTTGTGATTAATAATGGGTTTGAATTATAAATGAATAACTTACATCAAGATCTATTGAGAATCAAAATCAAAATCTATAATTCTGTTATAATAAAAAAAGTCCTTAAACCAAACAATTATAAATAACATTTTTATACAAAACACATCATGTTTACACTAGCTAAATTAGCGTATTATTCGTGCGACGAAAGTCAGAGACACTGGTATAACACTGTCCCCAAGAATATTATCAATATCAATATTAAAAGTTGTTGTGATGATCTTATTCAAATAACCAAGGGGACAAAACAAATAAATAGATTAAATACTATACTATGTGCCAGAGCCGCAAAATATGGACATTTGGACTGTTTGAAATTTTTTCGTCTCATGAAATTTTCTTGGAACGAACGCACATGTTCTAATGCTGCCCGTAATGGTCATATAAATTGTTTGATATACGCACATGAAAACAATTGTAAATGGAATTTAAGTACAACAGACTTTGCTGCAAAATATGGACATTTAGAATGTTTAAAATATGCTCACACACATAGATGTCCATGGGACGAAAAAACATGTATGCTGGCAGCTTCTAATGGACATTTGGAATGCTTAAAGTATTGTTTTGAAAACGGATGTTTGTGGAACGTAGACACTTGTACATTCTCAGCGTATAATGGACATTTTAAGTGTTTAAAATATGCACATGAAAATGGTTGCAGTTGGGACACTAATACTTGTGCTAAAGCTGCATCGGGTGGACAATTAAAGTGTTTGAAATATGCTTTTGAAAATGGTTGCGGATGGGATGTAAGTACAAGCTACAAAGCTGCAGAGAGAGGACATTTGGCTTGTTTGAAGTATGCTCATAAAAATGGATGTCCATGGGATGGACATGTAACCTATATTGCCGCAGCTAAAGGAAACCTAAGCTGCTTAAAATACGCTCATAAAAATGGATGTGAGTGGAATGAAACAACGTGTGCAGGATCTGTCAAAAATAAAAATTGGGACTGTTTAAAATATGCTCGTCAAAACGGTTGCCCGTGGGATAAGGTGACACGCATACTTGTTATCCGTAATAAACTCTTAAAAAAAAAATAAAAGATTTTCTTATAGATCTAGAGAAATGAAATTCCTCATTAGGTAGTCATCCTGTTACTGTGCGACTGTGGTCAAAACAATTATAAATAAGTATAAATTCTACATCACAACTATTTTTGTAATTAATTTAAAAGCCATAGGGCACATTTACAACTCCTCTATAAATATTCAAACTTAATTTTTTTTAAATATAGTTAAGATTGCTAAAATGAACTTAATATTAAAATTGCCTTATTTTTTTTTTAATTACATCTATATTCAATGAAATAATTATTATATTATTTAAAAAAAAAAGTGGTATAGGTTAAATCATATAAGGCGCAACGACGGAAGTTATTTAATATATTTTGTAATATTATGACAAGATTCGATATTGTAGAATACTGTATGAGCCTAATAACTTTTTCTCTACAACATATTTTTTTTTTATTTTATTTTTATATTTTATTCTTCAAGAAGATAATGGGCCCCACTGAACATGTTGTTTACATGCAATATTTAAAATAGGTTTATTCTGCCTGCTATTCACTATCATAATTCACTTGAAAAACATTGTTTTTATAAATTGGTAAATGGTTTTTGTATTATACATTTTTTTTAAGTACATCTTCAAATAATTTAGTATAGTATTTCATTATTATTGTAATTTTTTTTTGTTATTCAATGGCTTATTGATTTGCTATAATAATTATCAGTCTGCTACTTTTTTTTTTTTTATATATATTACTCTATTTTTAATTCAAGTTTTATCTATTTTATACAATTAAATAAATATTTTATAAAAATGTAAATGTATCAAATAAGTATATGTTTTTCTTATATACCAATGAGTATTGAGTATTGAGTTATTTTTTATGATATATAGTACTGTATTCTATATCCATTAATAATATTCATGACATATACCTCTAACACGATTAAGAAAGGTGTTTAAAATAAAATAATTTAGTTTTTTTTTTAGATATTGAAATACTACTATTATAATGTACTATCATTAACTATTATCGTACTGAATTGCAGTATATTGATTGTATATTTCAAGTATTTAAATAAAGTTATTAATATAAATAAGGTATGGATTAGGTATTAACCTACTGTACTTTAAAAACATGTAGGGGTAACATAACATCTACTGTTATCAACGAATGTATACCTACTTCATTATGATATACAATGGTTGGTATCATATTATAAAAATGTAAACTTACTTAAGTAAACTTTAATCAAATATCTTATTTTTAACCTATAATTACTGTAATTTAATCTAATATTGTAATTTATTTTTATTTTTATTTTTTTGTTTTTGTCAATGTCGGCTAATAACCATAGCAGTTGAAGCCTGTAAGCCTTTAAATAAAAAAAAAAATGGTTTTTAAACCATTAAGTTTGCTAATAAATACATCGCACTTTCAGTCATGTGAAGAAATTGACCGTTAAAATTGGTTTCAATACACAAACGCATTTTTAATGAAAATATTAATTTATCATTAATATAATGTAGTTGAACGCTCATTATTTTAAAAATGTTATTATTTTCTATATTAAATTCTACCAGCAATTTCCGATAATAATTTATATAGCGTCATTACAAAAGCATCGACCTTATTAATTTGAGCGTCTTATATCCTCTGCAACCTAGTTATAAACATATTCAATTTGAATATATTAGTTTTAATTAAATGTATTATTTCAATATCGAAAATTTCTTTTTTTTTACGGCAGATAGTTCATTTCCAAAGTTAATTAAATTGTCTTCCACCCTTTTCATATTATTATTAAATACAATTTTATTTTCATTAACTTTTTTATAAGTAATGATTACTTAAATGAGAAAAAAATATTAGTTACAGATAATGAAATTTCCATTATTTTAGTTAAAAAATTGGAAACATTTTCTAAATATTTTTAAGTTCTATAATAATATATTTTAATAATTAATTAATAATTAATTTTTGAAATATTATCGCGGATCGTAATATATATCGTAATTCAATGTTGAACGGAGATCATTTTATACAAATTTTTGTTAGGGAAATTTAAATTATGAGTTAAGACTCATTGTGATCTTTCACTTTGATTTTATTTTGAAGACCCTTAATATATTTTAGTGGAAGAAGGGCATGTCAAACACGCAGCCCATGGCTAATTTTTTGATGGCCCATTGATTGTATTATAATAAAAAAAAATTTATTATATAATAAGTATTGTAGGTGATGCATACAATTATAAATGCAGATCTTGTTTCAGAAAATTAATACAAAATATAATTTCAATCCCTTTTAAGATTTACATATTGCCAGACTTAAGTAAATAACATAAAAAATAAATGATTCTTCTAAAAATTAAAATAGTTACTATCTTCAGCTGTACTGTCATCAACATAAATGAATTGCAGCATCAATTCTACCCAATAGTTTATAGAAACAGGTGTTAAACGGAAACGCAAATACTAAAAAATATATAAAAGAAATTAGTTAACTAATTGTGTTTAGTTAAGTTCTTATTTATGTGTAATTACCATCAATAATTTTTTCTCCATATCTAACACATTTTCATTAGTACATGCACCATCGGTGACGCAAACAAATACAGTCAGTTTATGAGGGTAAATCTCTTCCATTTTGACAGCCATAAATAGACAAGTAATTCCTATATATAAAAATAAGTTAAGCTGAAATTAACTTTTCTTTGTATGGCTTTAAAATTAAGGCTAGGAAAGTTTAATTACCAATGAGTTGTAATTTTTCTATCGGAATAGAATCACTGTTTGATAAATATCGGTCTAAATAATAAGTTTCTCGATGTAGCTTAAAATCAGATGACACCTATAATCAAATAAATACATTGTAATTAATAACACATAATATGAATAATTTAAAATATGATAACATGAATAATTTATTATGAAAAAATACCGCGATTAGCCAATCTAAAAGAATAGCTCTCATTCGAGGTGTCAAATGTTCATGGCAATCATGGTACTTAGGATTCCTATAAGTTAATGTGGCAGAATCTCTATTACATAATATCATCTTCCAAAAAGCTGCACGTTTTCCCCAAGGGATTTCTGGTAGGTAATGGACATGGTCTGTCATTTAATGCAACTGGTTTCTGGTTGATGGCCATGTCACGAAATCTGAAACAATGATAAAATAACAAAGTTAATTATATTGTTCTTTTCATACTTAAATAATTAGTAACTTGCTGGCTCCAAGTAGTAACTATGTTACTCCCCAAGCTTTCTTGAATGTTTTAATAACATGGAGTAAGCATATATGTAGGCGGATCATTTTCAATATTTTTCTTTGGTTCAGAACTTTCAATACAATCTGGGCTTAGTTCATTGTCAGATAATAATGGGGCAGGTTCACTGAGAGCAGGACTACTAGCTTCTGATTCCGACCTAAGTATATGAAATAAATTATAGATATTTTCACTATTGATTTTTTATTTTTATCACTTACCTGTCATCTGAGTAAATTGAATGAGAGTCTGGAGACAAAACTTGTAACTCAGATAGTGACCGTCGTTCTACACTTCCATTATTACCAACACTAAGTTGTTGGAGTGAATCATTATGTTCAGAGTTAATTTGAAATGGATCAGAGTCATCTCGTACTCTGGAGTTTCTTTGTAAATTAGTAAAATATTGAAGCTCGCTATCATCAGATTGTAATGACTGTGATGAATTGTTTAATTTACCTAGATCTAGATAAAATACTTGGGATCACAACAGGACTATGGTCAATTTTCGTCCTCTTGCCAGTCACAGTACCATTATATAAATAACCTTCAGAGTTCTAAAGATAACAAATAATTCATGTCTTCAATTAAAACAAATTTTACAACTGGATTACTTTATTAAGAAGAGAAATTAAGTTAAAAATAAGTATCTTTTATCACTTTTATAATATTGATACTTTTAAATATTTCCAAATTTCTATGAGAAATACATTAATACTGTATTTGTATACAAGCTATCTACAGAATATATATATATATACATTTAATAATACATTCTAGGTAATAACTGATAATTAACGGCTCAATAAATTATATTAAGAAATTAATTTTTATAAATGCGATAAATATCTTATAGTACTCTTTTAGTATTACTACAACTTCAAAAAAATATCAATATCAAAATATGACCCAATCAAAAAACTTAATCATTCTCTTAGTTGTATAAGTACTAAGTGATAATATCTAATATTAAAATGCTTCGTAAAGTAGAAAAATTCTTTTAATTATTTTACATTTTGTTTTCTAGTTGAAATTATTTAAGAAATATTGTATTGAATAATAAAAAATTAGGAAAATAATATTTAAAACAACAAATAAACATTAAAAATAGGCTTACATGTCTTTTTATTTTCAAAACACCATCAACGTTAAATGAACTGGCTTCATTCATTGTAGTATGTTGTGAGAAATGAGTAATGTTAATCTAAAAAATAATATTCACTTTAAGAATTATAGGCATTTTTTGTTCTTTTTTACAACATTAAATTTTGTAAGAAATAAAAACCTTTAAATATATGGATATCAGTATACATAATAGGTATAATTGTATGTACATATAAGTAGAAAAAAATATACGGAAGTATTGATGAATCAATTTATTATTAGGTATAGTATATATGAACTTTTCAAAATAGACAGGTTTAGTAACCTAGTCATTATTATATAATAAGATAAGATTATTCAAGAAAATCAAATGTATGCATACATGCAGGATATTTCCAATAAATAAGTACCTAATTAAATGTAATTATACAACATAGCAGATAATAATATTATGTACGTGTAAGTGGAAGGGTAAGTACTAAGTAGCCATCTTAACCATTCGGATTAAACATATAAATGAATTGTATGACTATAATGATGGGTATGATGGCTGAATTTAAATAGAATACTTATAATACAAATAAAATATACCTAATAGAACTCAAATTAAAATGTGTATAATGATTTTTGCTTTAATGTTAGGTATAGTTTAAGAGGACGCCACACGGGCAAAAATACCGTACAAAAAGATGCCAATTTTGTTCCAATAATACGGCTTACTGAATGGTTTTAGAGCAAAATACCTTTATTAAAAGTTGTAGAGAAGAGTTATATCGGGTGCGTGTCGAGACTCGATTTTTGATATTTTAATTTTTTATACCAATTATTCACATGTAAAAAAGTGAAAAAAAGTGAAAACGCAAAACGATTTTATCGATTTTGAGAACGAAATATCAAAAATCGAGTCTCGACACGCACCCGATATAATTCTTCTCTACAACTTTTAATAAAGGTATTTTGCTCTAAAACCATTCAGTAAGCCGTATTATTGGAACAAAATTGGCATGTTTTACAGAAAAAAAATTTAATTGCGGCCGTCATGTGCTGCTGTCGTTTCTAGCGGGAGCGTTTGTCCCCTCCTAGCTCTGACATCCAGGCGCGCTCGCCGCCGACAGGTCAAAACCGGTCTGTTATCGGCGGTCCGCGCTTCGCCGGTCGTTGCATTATTTTCATATTATTATTATTTACGTGAAATAAAACAAAATAAAATTATGCTCGATTTATTACGATGCCCGCAACCGTCCTTACATTACCGTATTGCCGTGACAGCCGCGGCTGTGAGAAAAAACTTATTTTTTTAGTTCCAAAAACACGGCTAACTGTTTTAGAGCAAAAAACCTATTATAAAAGTTATAGAGGAGAGTTAAATCTGTTAACGTATAGGACTAGATTTTTGATATTTTAATTTATTATACCAATTATTCACAAATCAAAAAAGTGAAAACAAAAAACAAAAAATGCAAAACGATTTTATGGATTTTGAAAATGAAATATCGAAAATCGAGTCCTATATGTAATATAAAACATCTATAAAAATTAAAAACCTCTTCAAAAACATTTAAACATAATTTCTATATAATATATATTATTTATTGTGTTAAAAATATAAGAATTTATAAAAATTAAAACTTATCTCATCAAATAATTAGTGTATTAGATACCGTTACAACACAACTATACAAATTAGTAATTACTTTAAAAGTTTAAAAGTAACAAATAAAATAAAATTTATAAAGGTTATTTATTTCAATACAATTATACATATTATTATACATTTGAATATTTGAACAATTTTATTAAAGTATGTTATAAAATAAAATATATTTATACAATATATAAGTGTAGAAAAAAAGTAAGATAAACAAAATACATACATACTAATTAATTCAGTGGCGTATTTAGGAATTTGTCATGGGGAGGGTCCAGATAATTTTCAGAACACAGAGCCACGGGGGACGAAGTCCCACACACCACCCATTTACTCTTTATTAAATAAAATATACCATATTTATAAGACGATATAAAATTTTTGAGTTTTTAATTATTAAATAATAATATGTACAAAACAAATTTAATAAAAAGCGTTTAAGTGGATGTCACTCTGCTGCTGTACAGTAGGTTACAAGTGGGTCAATGTATAATATAATGTATAATATAATGGATTTATTAAACTTGAACTCAATGATATAATATCATAATATCATTGTATAAGAAAAACGATTCTGAGCGAAGACGGTTTGTCAGTCTTATATTGTTATTATTTATTATAGCCTGTAAGTTGAATTAATAATGAAATATTTTTTTTTTATTCTTTTCTATAGTGATAGACAAAGTTACGTGTTAGAAATTAAAATCCCATTTTTAGCGGTTTTTCGTAATTTTTTGGTGGTTTTTACAGTGGCATTAAATAACTATTGAGAAAATCGAAAAATGACCTCTCTAAAGTACTATCTTGATCCAATTTTCTAAAAGATAAGTTACTATATGTCTATACATGTTGAAATCGAAGCACTATTTCTGGAAGAAATTTTGTATACAGGAAAAATAAATAAACACCATTGTAAAACCAATAGATAACTCAGAATCGAATATATAGTTATGTTATAACTTTTATACAAATATTTCCTTAATTACATTAGGTACCTACTTCATTCATAGTTGATCTTAGATAGCTTTTCAACCTTAAAAAGGTTGAAAAAGATCTCTCTGGAGTGGTTGTAGATACTGGCAATGTACAAAACTACAAAATATTTGAATTAAAAAATGAACTTTGTATTTTTCAACCATTTTCGGTATCCAACTGATAAAAATAATCAAGATATTTATTGAAAATGTTGATATACCAACTATAGCTTCGAAAATTTTTTATAAAATCCGTAAAATAGTATGATAAAATTTGTTTTTTAATCATGTAAAAACTGCACAACATTTAACATGTACGAGACACGAGTCAATGGGGGGGGGGTCCGGACCCCATGGACCCCCCCCGTAAATACGCCACTGCTAATTATTGACTTCCGAAAAAAAAATATAAATGTTGTGGACAATTATATAATAATATATAATAAGATAATATAATAATACATAATACTAGGTATATAAATACGTACTAAGAACCTTTGCTAAATTAATTTTTAGAACTTGGAAGGATTATAACTTAAATTAATGTTTTCTATAGCTGATTTTTTTGCTTTCCTATTTAAATAACATTTTGCTATAAAATATAATAAAAAAACTATTATTATGACAACTAAATATTTGTTTGTGTATATAAATCCATACGTTTTATCTACAATAAGCGAATTTAGTAACATATCTTGTTGGTCTAATTGTTTATTTATTTTATTGAACGCTTTTTTTATTAAATTGTATATATTTTATTTCATCGAAGTGAATCGGTTTGGGATAGGCCTGATTTGAAAAATTGAATACTTTACAGCATGAATCATTCGTAAGAGATAAGTCTACTGGAACTGAGAAATATGATGTTTGATTTAATACTTGTTCAGTTTTTAGTACACTTTTCGAGGTGTAAGCAGCAATACACCCAGACTTCAAGTATAACTTTCCAGAACTTTAAATTTTAATTTTTTGAGTGAAAGACTGTTTATTACAAATTATAGTAATTGTAGTGGGTTTTTCACATACAAAAAACCAATGATTTTTGAAAAATCAGGGATACCACATTTCTGTTTTGAATTCAGAGATATAAGTATAACATTGAGGTGGTTTAGTTACAGAATTTTTT